CGAGTATATATTCACCTGTTTTGGTGCTGGACCTGCCGGGATGAGAACCATCTTTGATGTAACTTCCACGACCCTTTCACAAACCGGTAAATTTGAATTTGATTTCTCCTTCTCAGGCCATAGATGAAGTCTTACTCCAGAACAAGGCGCCAGATTTGTAACAAAGATAAAGTGGTTATTTCCATTTGACCCCTATTGTACAGAAAATGTGTCATTGGAGTTTGATATTGACATTTTAAGTGATATATAGATCTGAAATGACATCTCTAAGGGAATGAAATCAGAACAGACCAACAATTTTATGTCCAACCAGCGCCTTCTCCCGTCCATTGCCAAAATCGTAACAGTACTTGTTTGTATGTATAGATCCCTATCGAGAGCATCATCCCTCCAATCCAGGGAACACGTTGAGAGTTGTGATTCAGAACCTAGAAAGATGGACGATACAATGTTACAGGAATACATGAACCCACAGTAATATGGACACCTAATGAAACTGTTCTCATAATTAGCCATTGCCTCGAAACCTGTCTCATAGATATAAGATACCTCCAGCTATATTTTCACTACTAGACAACATATACTGCTAGATGTTAATCACCTTCAAGATCAGCGACGCTTATAAAGTAAATATAAGGGAATACTATATCATTTCTTTGAGGACTTCTAGTATGAGAAAACGAGGTATACATATGTTCAGGGTAGAGATGGTATTATTACCCTTTGAGGCCACCATGGCTAACTCGTGAGAGACTTTCATGGGCTTCATTCCATTGAAGCTTTGAGCTAATGCACTTTGAAGCATTCGGGTTAAAACCCAAAGTCTCTTTTCAGTATCAGAAAATGGTTGATTAGTTTCCGAGTCCACCAAACTAAGAAGCGTATGTGAAACCTGCATGGCATATGAAATTTCAAAATTCATTGAACATTCTTTTTTTCCAGATTACAAATCAGGGAATTTTTACCTACTTGAACAACCAATTGGTTACACCACAAAATAGCTTGATGCTCCATTGACAGCCAAACGTTTTTCATGCTTGTACTACTTATCATAAAGCCATGACTTGAAGGGACAATGCCATCAAGTGACTCTATCTTCGATCGAACCTGAGACAAATGGGAAATCTTAAGCTTTAAGAACTGTTCAAATCTCATCCACTGGAACTAACATACAATCAAAGAAAGCACCGTGACATAAAGAATGGAGCAAGCAACAAAATAAACCAAACAGTGTTGGATATTTTTCAGACCTGATAGTCATTGTACCCACCAGCAACGGATACAACAACAACTCCGGATAGTAAAGGGTCCGACACAAAAATTCCCCCAGGAGATGTTTGAACTTCATAACCTTTTTTCCATTCTTGATTCACTTGAGAAAAGTAATGCCCCAAGGATGGCTGCAATGCCAGAGGAGGTGATCTGGATGAAATTAGACACATAAAAACGTAAAACATGTTGTTTGGCAATTAACACTTGTTAAGCATGGAGAGAACTTACTGGTGTGGACTTGAGAGTGTTAGAATGGTTTGTACAGCTGATTTCCGCAAACGAGGATGGACTGCAGCAGCTCTGGCAACAAAACCACCCATAGAATGGCCAACCAATATTACATTATGTGGTAAGTTACTGGACGCAGCAGCACCCTCTTTTTCTCTGGTATCATGAGATTCCTTATACTGATCTAAAATCTGAAGAAAATAAGAGGATAGATTAAGGGATCAAATAGAGAAAAACTCAATTGGAAACAAGACTCTAAGCAGTATGTTCTGTTACCCTTAACAACTTAAATAATATGGCTCTGTACTTTTAGTTAAGAATTTCATCAAGGAAACGAAGCTAAACTATAAAAATTCCCACCCTATGAATGGCATATACGACATATTCAGTGTGCTCCTCAAGTATGCGACCATCCATTGCAGAATGTTCACCTTCAAGATCCACAGCAAACCAATCTAGTCTGTTACTGTATTGACTAGGCAAATCATAGTCTACAGACTCTGTATCTGCACCGCCCCCACGGAAGAGAGAAGCTTCCTGATAAAATGTGCGCTCAAATGGCCCCCCCTGATATGCTCTATCAGATTCTGCAGCCACAGACCTGACCTGCAGAACAATATAAATAACACGGGCTATAAGGAGTCTGGTATATCCTAAAGACAAGTTCACACCAGAAGCAGATATATTACATTATTCCGGGGTAAAAGAAACATCTGGCTCCATGATACCATGAAAATTTTCTAGTTAAGGAATTCCCAACTTCAGTTTTTATAGTGGACCGTTTATTGTTGGTTTTTGGTCATAATAGATGCACCATTTAATCATATAATTTACTATAAATGGGTTATTTCTAGCTCTCGGAAATGAAATCAAGAAAAGGAGGATCCTTACCTGCTTGTAGCTACCAGCATTGCCTGGTATGAAAAGAACTGGAACTCCACTAAGTTTCTTAAGGTGCTCCTTGAAATCAATCTTCCTCCAACCTTCATGGTAAAGATAGAGTCCATATCTTCCTGGAGTTGCATCGTCCGTCACAGAGATAGGAATGTAGGTGGGATACATGTAAGTCATAGTACAACCATTTTTTATTGGTTTTAGCAAGCCAAACAAAGCTGTAAGCCCAATCCATGCCGCTAAAATCACAACGCCAACTATCCTCAGCCTTGGTCGAACGCCTTGGCTACTCATAGCAAATCTTACATCACGCATTTCAATCGTATATATCTGCATAAAAGCATGCCATATACAGATTTAATAGAAAAATTAACAGACCAATGTGATCCAAATCACTCATTGAAAAAAAAAAAAAGAATATAGCTCCTCAACCATATTCATTTTTTTTTAGTATCAAACTGAATCACACAAGTGAAGAACCATAAACAGTAAAGTTGAGTCAAACTGTGAGAAAATCCCAATGTAGTTAACAAACAAAAAATTCTGCACTGTACATTAATCAGCGTAGATCTCTTTGGCGTCGTGGGTTCCCGTGAAAACTTCTCAAATCTCCAATTTTTAAGCTTTCAAGAGTACTAAGGACAAGTAAAAATCGAGTAGAGTGAAAGTGCTCTTGCTTCCTTGATCTATGTAGTTGTGGTATAAGTATTTTGACGAAATTGGGGATAGATCTAGAAATACATAGGTAAAGAGAAAAAGCTTTGGTGGGAGATTATACTATTAGCTTGGATTTTGTTTTTTTCTTTTCTTTTCTTTTTATAAACATACAAGTTACTAATAAATGGTTATAACTTTTTGGCAAAACATAAGCTTAAGAGGAAAGTGAAAAACCAAGCTTTAGAGGTGTCAGAACCAATTCATTAAACACACCAATGTGATCATAATCACTCAAACATAGCATATAGCTCCTAAAACAAGAATACATCAACTTTTTTTAGTATCCAATAGATTCACACAAGTGAAGAACCATAAACATATATATCTCACTATACATTACTTAGCTTAGATCTCAAATCAGTCTATGAACCAAATTACACAGAAAAAAAAAAATGAAACAATCCAAATCAGGAAACGAAAGAAAAACATAAAATGAGATCCAAATTGGAAGAAGCTTAATATAGTAACAGTAGTTTTAGCAGAAGGTATAAGCAAAGAGGAAACATTGTAGTTGGATCTCGCCATTAATGATAAAGCTAAGAGCTTAATTTGGAAATATCGATTAGTTTTTTTAAAGCTTTACTTTTTTCTTAGAATCAGTGTGACTCAGAAGACGAATGAGTCAGGAAACTAACCGGTTAAGAAGATGGTGAGAAGAACTCCGCGATTTCCGGGAAAATTGAACCGGCGGTTTAAGGAAGGAGCGAAGCACGGTGCAACGGAGGTCTGGCTCGTCACTGAAATCGAGGAGGGCAAATAAATCGGAGATCCTGCGTTAACCGGATCCGGGTTCGGGTGTTTTATTGCGAGTTCGGGTTGAATTTAGCTAAATGGACTGTATTTGGACTCTATGGGCTTAACGTTACCAACGATGATTCATTTCTTGAAGAACTAATTTAACTAAAGTTTCAATCTGTGTTAAAAGGATGTTTTAGAGTTTTTTATTTGTTTCTATGTAAAATTTAAATGTAATTAATACTTTGTAGTCAGTTATATTATGCAGTAATTATTATGATTGGTTGAATTGTTTTAAGTTTTAAATATTAAAGGATACTCCTCTTTGTCCAAGTATAAATATATTTTAAAGTTTTTTTGTGTTTGTTTGTTCTATTTTAATAGATATTCTCAAGTTTCTATGCATATTTTTGCTTATTTAATATTGTATAACTACTTAAATTCTGCAGTATTATGTTCCTTTGGTGAATTTCTATAATTGATAAAATATATTTTTCAATTAGTGTGTTTAGCCAAAAAAAATAGTTACCCAATTGAGTAATCTTTTTAAGTAATCTATGTTTCTGTAATTTTTATAAAGAGAATAAATTTCTGTTATTACTATAGAAAAATAATTTTTTTAAGACACACTTTTTAAGCGAAACATCTTACAAACTTTATAATTTGACTCAAAGGTAATACTTTTCTTCATATCCTTTTTGTAAGAAGTTTCGGTTAAAAAGTGTATCTTAAGTAATTTTATTTTTTAGATCTAACCTACATTCAATAGAGAATATTATTTAGTAGCATGTTCTCAACCAGTTGAAGGTAAGTTAGATCTGAATTAACCAGAAAGACAAACTTGATTTATGTTTGAGTCAAATTATCAAAATCTGCAACACATGAGAATTGAGCTAATCCAAATTAATTAAAACTTTTAAGAGTAACCAAAATAGCATTTATTTGGTTTTGTAAGAGTAATGATTTCACCAATCTAAATAATCACACTATCTATACCCGTTACATAATATATAACCAAAATGTACATGACTAGTTTGAGAATTCAGAATGCTACTAAAAATAAACTTTGATCCAAACCTTAATGAATCAAAGAATTCAAATATAAGATTTGGTACACAGATGAATTTTTTTGGTCTGCATTTGGTTTGGTTCGGTTAACCAAAATGGACGTTCCTCAATACGATGATATACAAAACAAAAGCATGAACTCTTAGAAGAAGGTTATGTATATAGTTTACTAATATTACGGGAAATACCCCGAGACAACAGAGAGTCTCTCCACTCGACCCATCTCACAAACAAAGCAACACCCCTCTAAAATCTAAACTAAACTCTACTGAGAGAGATAGAACCTCTCGGCTCTCGCTTGCCTTCTTTTTTTTTTGTTTCCTGGTAGAAACACACACATCCCGGTTTAATTCGGTTCACCTCTTTATGCTTTATGGAGAAACCAAAACCCGTAAAAACACGGTTTACATTTGGTTCACACTCTTTTTGCGGCATTGAGTTTTTCGTTTGAACAACTAGTATGAGAACTCGTGGCCACGGAGAGAGATGTATTTCTTGACCCAGATTGCAATATCTTCTGCACAAGCCTGAGCTTGCGGAGTCCTAAGAAGCATGTCTAGGGTTGCAAACTCGTGAACCGCGTCTTTGTACTCTAGCACGGGAGCATCTACATTGACTTTCCTTAACTCTTCTGAGTAAGCAATGGCCCGGTCTCTCATCCAGTCATGCTCGGCGACAATGGTTAGTGTCGGTGGCATGAATTTGAGAGGTGGACTTCGGCCTGGAACGAGCGGATTAGCTGCCGGATGGTCCAAGCTGAATTCTTCTTCTGGTAAGAAAAGCTTCCAAGCCAGAATGCACATGGGTTTGTCGTAGAAGTATGAGTTTGCTTGTTTGATCTCAGACTGTGTGGGAACACTACCAATGAAGAACGGGTACATTAGGACTTGAGCTACAACCTTAACAGGGTCTAGACTTTGACCAACTTCAATGGCTTTGCGGGCTACGTAGTCTGCTATGTTGGCACCACAGCTCACACCAAGAAGCACACATCTGAAGTTTCAAATTTTGAGATGTCACAGAACTCAGTAAGATTTTGTTTCACCTGAATCACATGAAAGCAATGATCTACAAAATTCATCTCTGAATACTCTGCTGGGATCTAAAGTTCATTATCCTTAGAAGTTTTTAAGAACCAAGAAGAAAACATTAATGGAAGCAAACTCCTTTAATTACGTGAAAGCAGTGATCACTGAAACATGGAATAAAGATCTTTGGTGTGACATATAATATGAATCACAATTGACAAATCAAGCGCATGTTCAAAAAACTGACTCCTACGCAAATGGTTTTTTCCATAACAAAAACAAGCTTCCTAATTCAATTCCAAGAAGGTTCACAAAATTTCAACGATTGGAATCTACATATCTAGCAAGTACTAACCCCAAGAAATCAATGCCGATCAAACAAATCCATATTTCAGGCCAATGGATAAGAGGAGAAATAGCAACAGATATCATGTTAGAAAGCAAGTGTCCTTTGAAAAACTTCAAGACATGATAAGGATCTATAAAGATTATAAGGTGGAGAGTGAAGCTGGACTTAACACCACTACCAAGAAACTAACACTACAACTAATCGAATTCTTCGGCAAGTAGATCAAGATCAAAGATCGACATCAAAGCTTAGTTTTTCAGGCAGGCAGGGGAACACACACATTTGAATCTAGCAAATCCTTGGCTCTTTCACTAGTTTCACTACCTAAAAAATGGTCAAAATTTCCCTAAATTGCATAGACAATGAAATTGGAAAGGACATTGTTATTACCTCGCGGGATCAGCATGAGTTGCCAGCCAAGGCTCCACCAAAGATGCACCAAAAGCATCAACAATATGCTTATTCACTTCTGATTTCTTCACCTCTCCTCCGGTTCGCCGTGAATTTCCCATCGACTTATTACATTCCGCCAAATTCGCCTGCTTCCCCAGCCATTTCAACACCTTGAATCCGTCCTCATACGCTGCTGGATACCGGTTCTCAGGTGCAAGCCTGTACCCGACGGCCAAGACAATGATATCACAATGCTTCGCCATTCTTCTACAAAACAAATCATTAGCCACTGAGTCGTTACTTCCACTCACCCATCCACCACCATGGAACTGCAACATTACAGGAAGTTTTCTAGAGTTTCCAGTCGACGACGACGGTGAGTATCCTCTATAAACGTCGGAGGATCCTGCTTCAGGGGAGGAAGAACCAGTGGTGCAACCGTAACTGTTCCTTCTAGATTCTACCTTGTGAGACAACAACGAATTAGACGAACCTAAGCTGTTTCTCCTAATAAGAAGATCCGATCCGGCGAGGTTGTTGAGAATTCGAGCCTTACCGGAATGCACACCGGCGGAGGTGCTCGGTTCAACCGGCGTAAGCGCAGATTCAGGTAGAAAAATCCGTACGGACAAAGAAGTTAACGGATCGATATGAATATCTTTAGTTGCAACACCGTCGGTGAATAACGGATTCGGAGCAGCGACTGATTCTTCGGGTCGGGTCGTGACACCGAACGGATCCGAGGAAGATTCGTCACCGGAAGATTGAATCCGGTTCTGTAAACGGTGTTTCAAAAGGAACTTGAAGAAGACACTGTAGAGCTTCACACCAACGCTCGGCATTTTTTAATTTTCAGTTTTCTCCGGGTTCGAATTTGAAAAACCTTTTATGAGTTTACAGAGATTTTAAGGATCCATGGATGGAGAAGGGAGATTAAGGTGGAGATTGCAGCAATTGCATCGAATTAGGGTTTGTGAGAGAGTGAAGAAGATTGCTTCGATTTGGAGCTTTGGTTTGAAGTGAACGATGAGCGTTAATAGAGACAACAAGGATAGAACAAAAATAAAATTACAAAAAAGCAAAGAAGCTTAGGTGGGAAGAGACTATCAGATTAATAAATTTTTAACTTTCGAGGACAATATATTTATTTTTCTAAAGGCTTTATATTTCATAATTATAATGTACTTTACTAATTTCAGGTGGAAAAATACATTTTTTTTGGTAGAACCTAGTAACCTATATTATATTGCCAGATATTTCATAATTATGTCATATTCCTTCCGTTTCTTTTTATTTGATGTTTTAATCAAAAAAAATATTTCATTTTAAGTTTAATTTTTATACAAAAATTAAATATTTTTAATGTTGACCAATTATGTATGATATATTATATATTTTTTTATTGGTTGATTTCATTTTAATTAATGAAGTTTTTAGAAGAATTAGAAATATATATATTTTATTAATTTGTGTGTAAGAACCTTGAACATCAAATAAAAAAAACGGAAGGAGTAACATATTTCTTCAAATTTCTTTAGCTAAAATTTGTATTTTTAGAATAATTATGTGAATAGCATTCGCGGTTTGTTATAAAATCAGTTATGTTAATTAAGTTTAATAATCTTTACAAATATAGAAACCAATGAATTTACTAAATGTTCATAACTTTTTACAATGTTTATTTAGTCATATCATATAATTTCTATTTAAATATAATCATACATACGTAATTATTAAATTTATCTATTTTTATTATTCAATTTTTTTTTGTCAACACCAAACGCTCATTGATTAGCTTTTATTATTCAATTTTCATAATAGTTTTCGACTTTTTTTAGTTTAAAATAATATTTAACAATAAAAATGAAATTTTACTATGATATTCAAACATTTAGTTTTAAGTGGTTTATAATAAACTAAACGATAACACTAAATATTTAATAATTAGAATCCAATTATTATTTGTAATGATGTCGAAAAAATAGAATCCAATTATTATCTACATATATATCATATATGAAAGAGGGCTTATCTGTAAGGAACAAAACATAGTGGGCTTAAAATGAAATCTCCTAAAAAGAATGCTCCAATTAATTAAAAACAAAAATATGTTTTCATGCGCCTCCGTGTATATTATTATTAGACGGTGGTTTGCAGCGAACAAGTAAAGAATAACTTAGAACCGGGTCTGATGTTTGTTGATGACCCTTCTCTACAACACACCTTGAAACGGAGACGACTCGAGATCATCGATTCCATGGAAGCTTCTTCTTCAGCTCAGGTCTAACTTCATTCTTCGTCTTCTCTCTCACTGATTTCTCATCTGATTCCTAGTTCCATTTCGATTCTGCAATTTTCTCTATTGGGATCTCAAGCTGTTTCGTTTCTTCTTCTTCTTCTTCTTCTTCTTCCTCTACCTTTGAGTTTTTCTTCACGCGAACTTCTCTAGGGTTTCGCCTTTTCTTGTGTTGAATTCGATGTTTATTTGATTTGATTTTCGTTAAATCAGGCTAAACTTGCTGATATGCGAGAAAAATTAGGGCGTGAGGTTCGTGTTTTCGAGACTTCGAGTATCTCACAGAGGCCAACTCAAGCTTCTAGTGCTGGTAAAGTTTTCGGATTCCTGATTCTTGGCTAATATTGCATTGAGTTTGAACAAGTCCTTTGATTGATTGTATTTGTATATAATCCCACAGAAGATGAATCTGATGATTTCTACGAGTTCACACCTGCGGATTATTACCGACTCTTGGCTACTAAGAAAGAAGGTAAGATGTGTAGAATCTGATGAATTGTGTATACATTCTTCTGGCATTTCCATGGATATTTTTATATCAAGTTAGTTGTTTATATCTTGAACATGTAAATTTTATAATCTATTAAAGATAAATCCTTGAAGACAAGAAAACTCAGGGAAGCAGAAGAAGCTGCTCGTCGATCAAAGCTTACTAAGGTTCTTGTTTTATTTTTAAAAGACTTTGTTTTGATTCATGCTTTGAATGATGCCACTGACTGTTTATAGATTGATACTATCTAGGCTGTAATCCGGGTTCGTTTCCCTGATAATCACACATTGGAGGCAATATTTCATCCCTCAGAGAAGATCCAGTGCTTGATTGATCTTGTCAGAAGAGTAGTTGCCCAACCAGATACGCCTTTCTACTTGTGTATGTTTTCCATTACTCAGATTTATGATTATACGTTTCTCAAGACAAGAAACCTGACATCGTGGTATTCGTTTTTGCAGACAATACTCCTCCCAAGAAACAGATAAAAGATTTCTCACAAGACTTCTACTCTGCTGGGTTTGTTCCTGGAGCAATTGTCTACTTTGCAAACGATCAACCAAAAGGTTGGACTTCCTCTTTCTCTGAGATACTTGAATTGCATTGCAATATGTACTGGATCATAGATTTAGTAAGCTAGTAAGAACTCTTAATAGGAACTGAAAACTATACCCGTGAATCTGTCCAAAGAACTTGCAAACATAGGATTGATACAGCTCGATAAGAAGTTTAGGATCATGTGAATACATAGGGAACAATAAATTTTAAAAGGCTGGTTAAGTCGGGTGTCTCAAATAGATTCACTGTTGAACTATAAAACTGTGCTTGCATACAACTCGAAGAGAATTTGTTGGAACGAGGAGTGAGCTCTTAACTTATCTCTTAAACCCAAATGGTCTTTGCAGATGATGGTGCTAGTTCAGCTCCTTATCTTAATGAAGAGATCTTGTCACTGAAAGATTTAGAGGTCATGACCAAAGCAGAAGAACCGGGTGAGGCGTCGTCAGAGCCAGCCACAGTTGACTCTGGTCATGTACCAGTTGAACAGGAGCCTAAACCCACAGAGAAGAAGAGTACAAAGCCAAAGTGGTTTAAAATGTGATCTCACTTGCGTTTACCCACATAACAAGAAACTAGCAGCATGTTGACTTTGATATGTGACGGTTCTGAGTATGTCAGCATTATTGTGTCGGTATGGCTCTTGGCTTCTTTTGGATTTTGTGGGCGTAAAAGTTACTTCCATTTATAGCATTTTATTCTCCTCTGCTTCTTGCCAAAGTAGAAACGTATGATAGTAAATGGATGCGTTTCACTACGCCGTATGATCGATCTTTAGATAAATTAGTGACGTATACAACAATGTGGAAGATAAATAGTAAAATTAAATAAATGATGATTAATTGTTATGAAAGAGTGTGAATTGTAGTAGTCTGAAGATAATGGATGAGAATCATGAGATTATTAATCTGTATATCAAATTTGTAGTAATTTATTGAAAACCCATACAAAAACAAAAAAAAACGTCACATTTATCCTTTTTGACTTTTCTTTTCCAAAAATTAACAAGTATATATATTTACTAAAATCTATGGATAATGGGATGATGAAGCTCGGCCATCACTAGTCTCGTATCCTCAAATTATTACCACTTTCCAATTAATTAACTTATAATGATTCTCTTTAGTGGTTTAACGTAATTATTATGTTTTGCTTTTGACAAAAACGATTCATTAGTCTTTTATTTATCTTATAAAAGTATTCGAACACATCATACAAGACAAAAATCTCAAAACTACTGTATCTATTGTCGCTACCACCGTCGTCGAAGGTTAAGATCTCTTCTCGCTTTGTTCTTTTTGATTCCTTCGATTCTGTGTTTTCGTTTTTGTCTAACACGAAACCTTAGATCCATTCTTATTTTTACTTGTAATCCAATTTTCGTATTTAAGAATCATCTTTTGAGATTGAGAATTGTTTTTTTTTTTTTTTTTTTTTTTTTTGTTTCCATGATTTTTAATCAATCGTAATGACAATGATTACAATTCCACTTGGCTTAATATCTTCGTTTACAGGTTTGTTGTGTGTTGTTCTCTTGTGTTGTGGTATCGTTTTGTGGTGGAAGATGGGTTCTGGGCAATGGCATGTTGAGAAGAGGTCTACTTTAAAGAATGATTCGTTTGTCAAAGAATACAATCCTGTCTCTGAAACTGGGAGCCTCTCTATCATTGTTCTTGGTGCTTCTGGTGATCTTGCCAAGAAGAAGACTTTTCCTGCACTTTTCAATCTGTACCACCAGGTTTTGTTACTCACACTTTGATCCATATGTATTGTTTCAGTTGTCAATTGTTTTTTTTTTTTTTTTTTTTATGTGTTTTTGTTTTTTGGTTCGTGTGAGTAGGGATTTCTTAATCCAGATGAAGTTCATATCTTTGGATATGCAAGGAGTAAGATTTCTGATGAGGAACTGAGAGATAAAATCCACGGGTTCGATTTCAGCCTTTTTGGTTTTTATTTGCATCTGAGACGATGAAATGCTTTTTTTTTTTATATATCTGATTTGGCCATATCATGTGCTGTAGATATCTTGTTGATGAGAAGAATGCATCTGAGAAAGCAGAAGCTTTGTCCAAGTTTCTTAAGCTGGTTAGTCCATTGTGATTAACGAGATTGCAGTCCTGTTTATTTTGATTACTGAAAAAAATACGATCTTTTTTTTTTTGTTTGGTTCTAAAATTGTATTAGATTAAGTATGTGAGTGGACCTTATGATTCTGAGGAAGGGTTTAAGAGATTAGACAAGGCGATTTCGGAGCACGAGATCTCTAAAAAGACTTCTGAAGGATCTTCCAGGAGATTGTTTTATCTTGCACTTCCTCCGTCTGTATACCCTTCTGTAAGCAAGATGATCAAGGCATGGTGCACTAACAAATGTGAGTTACTGTTAAATTATTTTCCAGCATTGTTAGGTACAAAAGATTAGGTAACTCTCATTGGAATGTATAATTTTTACAGCTGATCTTGGTGGATGGACTAGGATCGTTGTTGAGAAACCATTTGGAAAGGACTTGGAATCTGCAGAGCAACTGAGTTCCCAGATTGGAGCGCTGTTTGATGAACCACAGATTTATCGTATCGATCACTATCTGGGAAAAGAATTAGTCCAAAACATGGTAACACCTATTTGCTACTAGACTGTAGTTTATTTTTTTTAGACTGATAAAGATTATCTAACTGATGTACCATTAGTGCAGTTAGTTCTTCGGTTTGCCAATCGCTTGTTTTTGCCACTATGGAACCGCGATAATATTGCAAACGTACAGGTGAGAGCTTCATCGCTTAGCAAAGATATATTTGAACCTTAGACTTAGAGTTGAATCCATTCACATATATCTCTAATTTCTCTTTTCAGATTGTTTTCAGAGAAGATTTTGGAACTGAAGGTCGCGGGGGATATTTTGATGAATATGGGTAAGCTATTCTTTCCTTTTAATTCGATGTACATGAGACAACAATATCATTGCAATCTGATGACTTGTGTAATCTTCCATTTCAGAATCATTCGTGATATTATTCAAAACCACTTGCTCCAGGCAAGTGTTTTAATTTGAAATATGTCTCTATTTTAAAGAAGAACTTTAAATTTTTATCTTAAAAGCCACCTCCATATGACATTTTCCCTTGAAGTTTCCTTCCCCTGGAACTGCAGATGCTTTCATATATTTATCAATTTTAGTGTAATACAGGTTCTTTGCCTTGTCGCCATGGAGAAACCAATCTCTCTTAAACCCGAGCACATCCGGGATGAGAAAGTGAAGGTGATTACAGTTTTCTTGATCACATCCTAATTTTTCTGGATCGCATATTTTGTGTCACATCTTAATTTCCAAAATTCTGTAGGAGGTTACCTTTTCATCCAATTGGATCAAGTGATATCTTCATTTACATTTTTAGCTAATTAATACCAAGTGCTTATTTCTGTAATGAACTTCAGGTTCTTCAATCAGTGATTCCCATAAAAGATGAAGAGGTGGTTCTTGGACAATATGAAGGATATAGAGATGATCCAACTGTTCCAAATGACTCAAACACTCCAACATTTGCCACAACAATTCTTCGCATAGACAATGAAAGATGGGAAGGTACCGTGTCCTCGTCACTCTTCATCTTACATTTTCTACAATGAGTTCGGAAGATCAATTGAAAGTCAAAATGAATAGAGAGAAAATATCATCTACCAGCATTAGTTCAATTCATATTTTCCATATATACGGCTATATTCTACTACAGTAGCCTAAGGAACTCTTCTGTTTTTGCATAAATGATTAAACCAACTCCCCTGAAGCTGAAAATTACTAGATTTTATAATGGAACAGACATTAACTCATTCATATTGTCCATCCATCGATTAAGCACTCTCTTCCGATGTTACCTCTATTCCAAAATCCTTTTCTATTAATAGTGATTAGTGACTTGTGGATTGATGTATCTTTCAGGTGTTCCTTTTATACTGAAGGCTGGAAAGGCAATGAGTTCAAAGAAGGCAGATATTCGCATTCAGTTTAAGGATGTTCCTGGCGACATATTTAAATGTTTGAATTCAGACCAAATCAAACTTTCTCATATGTCAGGTGTATTTACTGATACTTGAAATTTTGTTGGTCTAATCTCTTATGCATGCAACTTGCAACAGGTCAAAACCAAGGGAGGAACGAGTTTGTTATACGCTTGCAACCTTCAGAGGCCATGTACATGAAGCTAACTGTGAGTGCCTGATGAACCAACCCCAAATTACAATATTACAATATTACAATTTACAAAAAAAAAAAAAAGGAAAGATTCATTTTTGTTCCTTCAATCAATCTGAAGTTTTTGGCTTTGCTGTGCAGGTGAAGCAACCGGGCCTGGAGATGCAAACTGTGCAGAGTGAACTAGACCTATCGTACAAACAACGTTACCAAGGTGTCTCGATTCCAGAGGCTTACGAGCGTCTAATTCTTGACACGTATGAATCTAAGTTACATAATATCATTAGTTCTGTACATCATTACCTTTAGTCATCCCATTAATGGAATCATATTCTATATCTCCCTGCAGGATCAGAGGCGACCAACAACACTTTGTTCGCAGAGACGAATTGAAGGTAAGCTTAATGTTACCTTTCTCCTTCTTCACCACTTCAAAACCCCTGAATACATGAGATCATTTCAAGAAACTCAACCTGTTTTCAACACTTCCATAATCTGATTCTACGCCAAATTTGTTGTGAAAATCTTTGATACTTTTCCCATTGAGAAGATCCTTAAACACATATGTCTGTGATCAATCACGAAAACAGGCAGCTTGGGAAATCTTCACTCCACTGCTTCACAGGATCGACAAAGGAGAGGTGAAATCGATCCCATACAAACAAGGAAGCCGTGGCCCAGCCGAAGCAGATCAGCTACTTAAGAAAGCTGGTTATATGCAGACCCATGGCTACATTTGGATCCCTCCTACATTGTAAATGGTACAAAACATAGAGATGATGATGATGATGAGTACACACAAAATAAGAGCTTCTTTTTGTTTCCGTGCTTGCTGAATAAAAAAACTCTTCGCCAGTTTGGAGTTGAATCTTATGTATACTAGTGATCTTTCACTAGAACATTGTTTATGCCTTGTAGTTTTAATTTTTGTTGTTGTTGTACTAGTCTGTTGTTTTGATGTTGATTATTAATTCCATCATATAAAAGTGTAATCTATTATCTCAAAGGTCTATTACATTTTTAAATACTAAAAACTAATAAATCAACTTGTCTATAAAAATAGATTAAAATATATTTTTAAAATGCGCTATATTTCATCTCAAACTTTGAAATTATATTTTTTCATTCTAATAACAAATTTCTAAAATGACATGTAGTTGGTGCAATAAAAAAAAAGAGTAAATAGAAAGAAACAAAATACATATACCAAATTTTAGAGAAAATAATGAAACTCATATAATTATTTACTTTTAATAAGAAGATATAGTTAGACACGCGCCAAATTCGCACCAAAAAAAAAGCCAAAAAAAAAAAAGAGTCCCCTCCTTTGGAAAAGAAACCATTGTCTTCTTCTTCTTCTTCCTCTCGATCGATCCTTTCTCTCTCCCTCTTTTAGATCTGTTTAGTTTCTTTTCGGGGGTCAAATTGATTGCTGTTCTAGTCTTTTAAAAATTCATCCTTTTGAGAGATTCGACTTTACTCTTTGATTCGTCTGGGTTTAAATGGAGGCTAAGCGTGACGAGCTTGGAGGTTGTTATGCTGCTTGGGGGTAGCGATTACAGAAAATTAGAATTGGGTTTTGGTAATTTGGGTGAAGAAGACGACTTTTTGAATCGAATGTCGTTGTTTTCTGGCTATCAGATTCTTTACGAGACTATGAATTGCGTTGGTAATGGTAATGGTAATGGCGGTTTTGTGATGGGTCTCAATGGTTTTGTGGGTTTTTGTGAAAACACTGTGGATATTAACTTGCCTGAGGATCCCTTTTGTATGAACATTAGGTCGACTTTGAATACGATCTCGGATTGGTTTCATGAGAATCAGATGGTTTTAGTATCATCAGATTCTTATGATGTTCCAATTGGTGGTTGTGGTGTTGAGCATACCATGTTGCAGCAGCAGCAGCAGCAAGTCAGCAGCACGAAGATGATTGGTTTTGAGGGATTTGGTGTTGAAGAAGAAGTTAGTTTGCCTGAGGATCCATTTTGTATGAAAGTTAGATCCACTCTGAACACAATCTCGGATTGGTTTCATGAGAATCACAAGGATTTAGTAGCTGACCAGAATCTCTTCGAGAGCCTGAGTTGTTTTTATAATCCAACTTCAATTTCCCAACAAATAATCCGTAGCAGTGATCCTGATGATGATGATGATGATGATGATGATGATGATGATGATGATGCTGGTGAGCCTCATGACGCCTTTGAGTTAGTCACTGCATACCTAGGGTTGAAAGAGATTCTCGCGGTTGAAGGGGTCTGCAGGTCCTTGCGTGACTCGGTTAGGAACGAGCCTTTTCTCTGGATAATCATTGATCTCAATGACTCGTTTCTCAAATATAGAGTTACTGATGAGTCCCTTTTGAAGTTAACATGCCGTGCTCAAGGCCATCTACAATGTTTGAATCTGGGAGGATGTGTAGGTATCACTGATTATGGACTGAAACAGGTGCTTGTAAGCAATCCCAATCTCACAAAGGTATAGTGTTCTATCATAACAAGACTAGATTAACTGAGATTTTCATGTATACCCTTAGATAGCATTTTGCTTTTTAAATTATGTGATATGAGATTGCTGGATAAACGTTTTGAATGAATGCTTCTCAGAGAATACATCAGATACATCCGCAAAGCCTACACAATCTTGGCGTTTATGGTTGTCTGTGCATGTGTGTCTGTTTTCATTACTAAGGCTATACATACTGCATTCTGTGTTTGATTTTTAAAATCGGTGTCCCTAACACAATGAATCTTTTGATATATGTTTCGCAGCTAAGTGTATCAGGTTGTCTAAGACTAAGCACAGCAGGACTGCTATCCATTTTAAGGGACTTAAAATCTTCAAACCGTCTTGGAGTCAAAAGCTTAATCACTGGTGGGGCTTTATATTTCACGAAAGATCAATTTAAAGAGCTGAACATCTTACTGGGAGCAGATGCTAAAGCAGGTCCAATATCGAGGAAGATGAGATTCTACACTTCTTGTAGATCAGAATTCTCTTTAGAGGATGATCGAGTTACTGACCTAGAGATATGCCCGTGGTGTGAGAAACCAAGTCTGGTATTTGATTGTCCATTGAAGGATCATCCTTATCTTAATTCATCGTGCAGAGCTTGCGTAGTCTGTATAGAAAGGTGCCATGAGTGTGGGAGTTGCTTAAGTGATTGTGAAAACAAGCCGTTCTGTTTTGCATTCAGCTGTGTTGTCTGCATTGAGAAGAGGTCTAACCAGTTACAAGAGTTTATTTGAAGTCAAAACAAGCTAACAGAAGAATAGAAAAACTGAAAAAGTCTTAGACGCTTGAGGTATTAATCAAAGTCAATGAGAAGAGCTGCAACAAAAAAAAGGAACCAAGATTAGTCTCACAAGGGTGTTTATTCTTGCATTTACTGAATCATGACAGACCTAAGCGAACTTGATTCTGCAAGGGGCTCCCGGAGAGAGGAGAAGAATCAAAGACAAAAGCTATACTTGAAAGCTGAAGCACCGGGCTTCTGATGTAAATAAGTAGAACTTACAAGAGAAGGGAAGAGAATAAAGAATACATCAGATTCCGTCCAAGTACTGTTTCAAGTACCTATTTCTCATAATCATCATTTAATTAGTCTTCTAATCTCCATATATAGCTTTTGTTAGATGACTTGTATAATTTTCAAATAAAAATTGGATCAATCTTAATATCTTATCAATCAACTCCTGTTCAGACATTCACTGGAAACATGACTCTTTAAGGAAGTTTGCCAGCAACATCACAAAGTTTCCTTACAAGATCCTCAAAACCATCTTTATAGAACTTTTGACCTAAAGCAGCAGACATACAAAGTTTCACAATCTGATGGCAAAGCAACTTTGTAAACACGGTCATATGTGCACCTTCAAAAAATATCTGTCTTGGACCGCGATGATACCCCGACTTCCAAAACCAAACCACTTACATACTACTGACACACCAACATGATCAAGAGCCACTAGAATTTTCTTGCCTGTAAACATCTCTCGTTCAATTATAACCTTGTTATCATTCTGATATGTTATATCGAAACAAGCTCATTGAGACTCTTGGTTAAGAGTAAAGACAGACTCTTGGTCAAACAAATATTTGGTAATTGTGGTATTGCCAGGAAGACCCCAAATCCAAACCATCCTCACTTCATCCAAGTCTAGGTATAACAATTATCTTCATCTAAGTCGTTAAAATCATACTGGTCTCGTGATTTTGATACATCATTAGCTACATTCTCGTTCATAGCTACTTCATTATATTCCTACCAAATGTATGTATAAACACTTCTCGTTGATCAATTACACATATAACTTGGAACTATTTCAAAGCAAATCTTGAATACAAAAATTTGGTTTTTCGTGGATTTTCGTTTTAATTCTACTAGGTTAGTACCTCCGCTACACCGCGGAATTGTTCTTCTAATTTTTTTTTTCTAAATATTTTTTGTTTATTTTTTCTGAAATAACAATTTGTGTTATCAAAATCACTATTACTATAGTTTTAGTTGTTCATTGCTAATATTTTTGTTTTTGATTATTGCTATTATTTTAATTTTTTAGTTTTTTTGCTAATCTTTTAGTCTTTAGATTTTTGTTATTATTTGTTGCTGCATACTTTCTTAATATTGTAATCAAATCATAGAATAAAATAATTTTTTTTTCTTGTATTACGATGTTTTCGAGCACCCATTATTATAGGCCTGGGCAAAATACCCGGATAAATCCATACCCGAATCTGTTCCGAAAAGCCCGAACGGAACCCATACCCGATAATAGAAAATACCCGAATGGGTCTAGAACTTATTAGTTTTGGATACCCGAACCCGATCTGGTATTACCCGAAATCCAAAAAATCCCAAACAAATCTGATGGTCTATACGTTTATGTGAAAATATGTATAACCCTTACGATTTATCATCAAGATTACTAGAATTATCTCGGCTAATTTCTTAAAAACTCGTTTACATGATTGTTTTTTTTATTACGTATTTTATTTTAAGACATGGAAGTGTAAGTTGTTGTGAACCTTTGATGGCTTTTGAACCCTTTTTTCTTGATTTTTAACATTGACTTCGGGTATCAGATTGATTTTGGATTGTTTTTTTGTTTAGATTTGGATTAAAGAATTCAGAATCAAACCGATTTCAAAGTGTATTTCCGTTATTGGGTGTAATCTGAACCGAACCAAACCCGGTGGGTGTTTATCCAAACCCGACACTGAATACTATAAATACCCAAATGGGTTTAAGCCTTTTACCAAAATACCCAAAAATCTGAAATATCCGACCCGAACGCCCACGCCTACATTATTACATTGTTTTGCTCTAAACCTCTCAAAATCGTTAAATTTTAAAAATTTACTCCCGTACGCGTTTGTAGTTGCAAATTTGCTGATTTTGCTGAAATATATATTGTGATAGATTATATCAAAACCTATATATATATATACATATTAACTTGAAACACTTTCCCTAGCTTTAATCTCTCAATATGAATAATAATTTATGTATAAATTTATAATTTATTTTTAAATTTATAATTTATTTGTTTAATTTAAATAACCATTTAGTGATTTTTAATATTTTAATTATAATTTTATTTATGAATTTATGATCATATTCAATTTTATTATATTTTCCTAAATATAGCTTTTTTTGTTTTTATATTTTTATAAGTGTATTACATTTATATTGGTATTTTTTGTTTCATTTTTGTTGTGCATGTTAGCTCTTAAATCTTAGAGATATTCACTATAATAACCTTTTTACCCTTTTTCATAACTACCCTTTTGTCATTTTCAGTTTTGCACTCCCTTAAATTTTAATGACCATTTTACCGCAAGTTGAAATAGTATTCCTTCCAAAAAAGTTCGCGCCAAAATTTTCTCTCCAAAAACTTTCCTGCCAAAAAATTCTAAGCAAATTTTTCTGCCAAATGTTTTTTAAAGGGTTTACAAGGATTTTTAAAGGGTATTTGAAAGGATTTACAAAGGTTTTTAAAGGGATTTGCAAGAGTTTTAAAATGGTTTTTAAAAGTCTTGTAATGGTTTTAAAAGATTTTAGAAGCTTACAAAAGTTTTTGAATGGTTTTTAAAGGATTTACTTTGGTTTTTAAAAGATTTTATAGGTTTATAACTGTTTTTAAAGGATTTACAAGTATTTTTAAAAGATTTTGAAAGGTTTTTAAAAATTTACAAGGATATTTAAATGGTTTTAAAAGGATTTACAAGTGTTTTTAAAGGCATTTACATGGATTTATAAATGGTTTTAAAAGATTTACATGTATTTTTAAAGACATTTACAAAGATTTAAAAATGGTTTGAAAGGATTTACAAGGGGTTCTAAAGGGTTTTAAAAATTTACACGGTTTTAAAGGGTTTACAAGGGTTTTAAAGACATTTACAAGAGATTTAAAATGGTTTTAAGGGGTTTTCACGGGTTATTAAAAAGTTTTAGAAGTTTATAAAAGTTTTTATTAAAGGATTTACAATGGTTTTAAAGGGTTTGAGAAGTTTATAAGGATCTTTAAAGGGTTTGCAAGGATATTTAAAAGACTTTTTGGCAGGAAATGTTTTGTCGAAATTTTTTGGCAGGAAAATTTTTGGCGGGAAATTTTGGTGGGAATTTTTTTAGAAGGAATATTTTTTTTGTTGGAAAGAATATTCTTTCTTCATCATGAGTTATATTAAAGAAGGTTAATTTAGTTATTTTCTACATAAAAGAAAATATTTTTGAATATGGACACCAGGAGAGGATATTTGTACAAAAGGGTAACGTGAAAAGGTTATTTGTGCAAATCCTCCTAAATCTTATGCACACGGCACACTTTCAACTGTTAAATTACTCATTTAAAATTTTAAAACCGCTTAAAACCCGAACTCATACTTTCGTAAATTCCTGCAATCGCAGCTGTTGCGTTTTAACCCGTGAAACCGTTAATAGTGTCTTGAGTTTTACTTTTTATTTTGTTAAAATACAGCTGGACAAATCTGATGCGTATTAATTGTTATAATTTGATTGACTAGTTGTTTTAATTAATGTAACAACACAAACCTTAATGAAAAAGGTGATGTGTCAACACTGGAGAGAAACTCCTCCATCTTTTATTGTACTAGGTTATTAAAATTTATTGGTGTCAACACTAGAGAGAAAAAGCTGATATTTATATAGATTGTCTTCAAGTATGTATATTGTATCACACAATTTGCAACAATACCATAATGTTTATTTTTCAATCTTTCAAGAAAAATATTTTTCATTTATATTTAAGTATCTTTTTATCTTACAAAAGTATTCTTGATTAAAATAAATAAAAATCGTGTATATATAATGAAAATAAAACCAATTACTTAAATTGCTCGTTGTGGACATCTTTGTCCTCTTACCATAATCTTTTTGGACAAAATCTCATCAACATACTCACAATCGTCTCTATGGTATTCGATCCATACACACAACTGTCTTATCACTCCTCTATTCTCTTATCCTAATCCCAACAATGTGTTCTTCAACTTCTCATTGTCTCTTTCCTCTTATTTTAACGACCTCCAAACTTATTCTCCAGCTCTTCTTTCTCTTTCTTCATCTTTGCCACACATTTCTTCGTCGTCAAAAGCATCTTTGTCACATTAACCACCGTTTCCACATACCTTTTGTGCTTCTGCTCAAGCCTTTTAGATAAACATTATAATAAGTTTAGTATTGTGGAATTCACTCTCTCTAATCTCTTTGATCATACCTCGATATGTTTCATTTGTCATTAGAATCTTATCCTCAAGCAATGTTTGACGTTCCTCAAAATGCTTACCTTCTATTCTCTTCAACTCTCACTCTTTCTCGGTCACACTTGTTCGGTTACTTATCCATCAAGCTCTCTATCTCCTCTTTTCATCTGTACTTCATTACGTAAACTCTCTACCGTTACTTCCAAATCTATAATGGTGGATTCATTTGATGCAACATCTTTACTAGTCTCTTGCATTCTATTCTCTTTCTCCTCTGTCGTCTTGTATTCTTCCAACATATCTCAGACTTATTTGTAATCATCTATTAGTTTCTTCATTATTGCTTTTCTAAACAAGCCGTTATTTTGTTTGTGCTCTCGGTTCAGCGTCTTCTATGCAGCTTCTTGCCCTAACACCATTTTCTGCACATCGTTTATCTTACAGAAAATATTTATAAGAACTTAAGAGACATTCATGATTTAGGGTTTTATTTTATTTACGGTTTTTATTTATTTGAAATTTGATTGCCTTCTATAAGAATTTTGTTGCATTCCTTCGAAATACTCCTACCAAATTTCAGATTATTACGAGTACGCTTTGATCTTCGCTTGTTGTCTCAATGGGACTGGTAAGATCTTAAACTTTAGAGAAAATCTTCTCTAATAGGTTGAAGAAGCTTAGACAAAATACACACAAAAAGATGTTTAAATATATATCCTACCATTTAACCTACAATAATATCAGAAACCTTGCCATCAAATTTTAGCTACATATAAACTAAAGGTTGCCTTCAAGAGGTTAGATCATTATTGTTTTCTCAATTTTCTTTTTCATACCCAAAAATTTTATACAGACAACATCAAATTATCTATAACATCAAACACAAACACATGTTTTACGGCTCATAAAATATATAAAGCATAAACATTCTGATGGAAAGAAAATTCCCCAACATGAATAAAACGATTAAAAATATATATAAATCGACCCCATTTAGAGTAGTAATCAACCCTAATTGTTTATGACAGCTTGGAATTTACAAATTAAACAATTATAATCGAATGTAATGCCTTTGGTTAATGGATATTATTTATGTGGCAAAGATCTAGGGTTGGTATATATTTGTTAATATTTTCTTGTAAATAAGTAGATTAACAAAATAAGAATATAAGCTTTATATATTTAACATATTGTTTTCAAAATTTTACATTCCTCCTTTTTTATACATATGGTCTTTTTCCTTTTCATTAATATTTTTATATATAAAAATTAGAATTTAAAAATGTTAATTAATTAGATGAACGACTTAAGCATTAAATGCGGACAGATATTGTAACACCCGTTCTGGAAAACCGGGTGGTGTCGATCGACACCTAGGAAGGGTGTCGATCGACACCAATAATTTTTGGTTAGACGGTTTAATTTTTTTAGATCGTCGGTTCGATTGAGGATCGGTTTGGGGGAAACCTAGGTCGACTAAAAGGTTTAAGGGGAGCCGTTTCTCTTTTTTTTCTTCATTTGTCGCTTTGTGAGTTTTGAGAGAAGAGCAGAGAGTGATAAATTGATCCTTTGGTGCCCTTGAGTGGGTTTTTGGAGAGGTTGAAGCTTGTTGTTGGTGGTTCAAGGCTAGAGGAGGTTAGATCCGTGGTGTTTGGTGTCTGTGGAGGTTGTTTTCACCCTTGCTAGCCCTTGTTCGTTGCTGTTCTTTCTTGTTTATGAGGTGAGTGCATGTCCTAGGCTTATCTGAGCTATTTGATTCATGTTTTGGTGATTTTTATGGTTGATGATTGATATTCTTTGGTTGTATGCGTGTTTTATTGTGTTATGGTGCCTCTGGACGAGTCTTATGGAGTGGTTACATGACCTTGGAGGGTTTGGAAAGGTGGATCTGTTGATGAGAAGCGAATGTAGTGATGTTAGGCATCAGTATCGATCGACACCAATCTTCTGTATCGCTAGTGTCTATCAACACCAGCGGCGAGTGTCGATCGACACTACTCGTCATAACGGATTATGTGATTATTTTATGGTCTTTTTATGATTGTTGAATGTTGCTTGAATGTGAATTATGATGCTTGTCTGTATAGCCAGTTGTGGGGATGAATGCCTCACTAAGTATTTCTGGAAATACTTATGCATCTCTTTTCTGTGATGCATGTAAAGGAAAAGTGTGAACCGTGGAATCATGGCGAGGAGAATACGATGATCTAGGATCTCGCTGTATTGTTGGAATAATGTTATGAAATGTTTGGAATTTGCTAGACATGGAATTTAGAAGCATGATAGGTTGTTTATGTCATCTGGAATAATTGTTGGTTGGTTTTTTGGTTAAGTCATTCGTTGGTTATTGTTATCTGTCTTGATTAACTTACAATTGATGATTAATCGGATTTAAATTAAAATTGGAATGGTTTAATCGATTAGAACCGGTTTAACTGATTAGTTGGTTTAAAATGATTTAGTACGGTTTAGCTGGTTTAATTGGTTTGCACCGTTGGGATAATTCGGTTTGCATGTATTAAAAAAAAGGGTCGAATCTTTTCACATATCCTCAATCTTATTTTCCTTAATACTTGTATGTCTCATCATCACATCACTAAGATTTCGGGATTTGTCCTAGACATATGTAAGATTTTAACCTTCATTCGATTAATTTGGTCTTCAAAACAATAAAATTTGTCTCATTATAAATAACTAAGTCTCCTAGAATCACATTCAGCAGTTTTTAAAAGAAAACTTGTGATATTTTGAATAACAGTATATTTGAAAATAAAATTTATAAATTATTGATTGTAACAAGAGATTGTGAATTATTTAAAATGATTTCTATAAATTTCAGATTCAATAACATAGGATTTCATAAGTGTTTTTAAAATGACCAATTGAATAACATGGTATTTTAAAAATACTTTAAAACTAGATACGGACCCGCGCTACAGCGCGGGGGAAAATTCTCATGGTTTTTTAGTTTTTTTTAAATAACATTATGTAACGATGAATTGGTGTTGCAGGTAGCGTTTTATGTTGTTTTCGGAAAAGGGCATGTATTAAAAATGGTAAGGATTTTAAAAAAATGAAAAAAATATATTCTATCATATAGAATTTAGACTTTAGATGTTTGTCGAAGAAAAGAAAAAAATAGAGTATTATATTAACACTACAATTTGTTTAGATTTGAAATTGTGATTTCTAGCATGGGTATATATGATGTTGGTTACTATTTTTTTAGTTAATTAATAATCGTTAATTGATTAATTGAGATAATCCGTAAATCCATTACATGCCTTTCTTTTTATAAGAAACAATAGCCCACACAAATCAATGTGTTTGTATATTTAATTTTTATCTATTATTTGTTACAAAAAAAAGGACAAAAAAACATCCAAACGCTAAGTCGTATCACCCACCTGCAATTTTATCTCCTTTTTTTTTTCTTTTTTGTCTATTACCATTAAAAATCAATGTCTGTAATTTTTTAATCTTCCAGATCAGTTTTTTAGTTTATAATTCTCTATTTTTACAGAATACAAAACTCAGATGAAAGAAATTAACGATATATATTGATCGGTTTGTTTTATTTTGCTGGTGATGAAGTGAACGAAGTATCGTTTAAATTTCCGGAATTGATTCGATGGAGCATGGTAAGGTATTTTAGAGTTTTATTTTTAAAAAAATAGTGAGCCCTCCGAATAGTGAGCAAAAGTTAGTTCGTGACACAATAGTCATGAAAATACAAAAGTAAATGCAGCATATATATATAACCTACAGATGAATTAACTAAAATCATGTCAATGGTTTCTACGGCAAGAATGGATAATCTTCACTTGTACTCGCCAACTGGTCTTGAAGGATTCAAATGAAGCTAAATCTGTAAATGGAGGAATTGGTTGCCGTCGAATGAAGAAGAG